CAATTCAATTGAAAAATATCACTCAATTCGAGAACACGTATAATATTCTATAATTTAACGATATGAATCCGATTTCAACAAACTGTCGTAAATTGAAATGTGTATATTCTTAAGAGTATAGTTAATTCTAAAATATCTTCACGTCTTTTTTTGAAAAAGGAAAACGAAAAAGAGGAGACACGCGTCGTCACGAAAAACGTACCAGGTAAATTCACATGATGTTAAACGCGCCCGGTTTAGAGAAGGGGCTTCTAATCATGGGAAACTCGAGTGGCGGCATATGTTGCTGATACAGAGGAGTCAATTAACCGGCGGATTCGGTACGACGGGACTGGTGTGTGGGAATCGAGTGATTTTTAGAGTCAACAAACATAAATCAAGTGTTTCCACAAGCGAGTCACGCCGTCTCTCCCTCCGTTCCTGTAGAGGGTGTCCGACGACCACCCACGGCTTACCGGTGTCATAGTCACGGTGGTAGCCCCGTGCACGGTAGTATCCCGCACCGGGGAGACCAGGAGGGTTGAATGGTGGCGACAATTACGTGTTTAGAGGGCACAAAAGGGGTGGCACCCGTGGGACGATCCATCGGAGCGTGGTGGCGCGTGCCAAGGCAATTCGACACTCGAGAACCATCGCGCGAGCACGATGCATTATGCGACTTTGACGACGCTCGCTGTCCACGCTCTTATGACTCCATTGTTACGACTGTATGTATATTATGGGTAAGAAACCGAAAACGGCAGTCACGTTTCTTCTCTATCTAGTCGATTTTTTAACTTTTGTGATAAATAAACGTTGACTGCGTGCAACGTTGATGAACGATAACGCGATGTGCTTCAGAGACGATAGATACTTTATACACGAAGTCTACCTTGAAAATAGAAGAACGGAATTTCAAGTATGAAGCAGATTATTAATTACCATTGTGATCTGCATTTGATAAGTAAAGTTTTGTTCTTAGAGTTACTTTAATTTAAGTATATCTGTGTGGACTCGACCCGCGTGTCTCAGAAGTGTTAATATAATACAATTCGTCATACTTTAATCGTGACAGTATGTCTGTCTTTGTAAAACAGACACGCGTATTTATAGCTATTCGTTTGGTGACGTTTGTTTTCAAATTCTGCGAAATAATAAAGTAATAACATTTTCATATTTCTCATCTTACCACTCTAGCCAAGTCTGTAGTTGTGGCTGGTACTTCTTGATCCTGATTCATCCTTGTTAGCCTTGTCCCTTTCCTGATTTCTCTTCGTTCAAAAATCGTTCGTCACCAGATTCCACGAAAATGACACGGCTGGAAATGTCGACAAACCGAACAGATCACACGAACTGTCGCGTAATTTCAAAGTCACGTTGCTGCACCGTCAAGATCAAAGATAGGACTGAGACGAGTGATTTGATCTCGGTGAACAGTGAAAAGACAGGGTGTATGCATCGGGGGTTGTGTCTACGGTACGTGTACGCCCACAACGTGGTATAGAAATCAGCCCTGCGCGGGCTACCCTGACTAGGGGTTGCTTCCAACCCCTGCTTCGTAGGCGGAGCCTCGAAATCATTGGTAACCTTCTCTTATACTGCGAAGCTTTGTGCTTCGACAACACCTACGAGAACACCTCTTTTCGTTGGAATTCTTTGTTAATCTTGCGAATCGTTTTCCTAACTCTGTCATATTATATGCCCTGAATGGCACTTTTACAGACCGATTTTTTACGAAAGGATTTGGGTTCCTTTTTAACAAGCGACTTCTTGGTTGAAATTTATTTATATGTCAGGATATCTCTGAAACTGATATTAAATATTTCGGTAAGAGGAATGATTTCGATAACTGTTAAATCATGTATATATTAAGATAGGTATATGTTAGAATAGCATGTGGAAAAATAGTGGATATTGAACACTGATATAATTTCATCTGGTTTTATTACACTACTGTCAGAAATTGCACAGGTAATATGATAACTTAGTAATTGTGTAACTGAGTGATTTTCCTCTAATTGATAACCGCATAATGGAAAATTCATTTTTAATTGACAAGTTTCAATCAAATAGGGGATAACGTGTCAATTTAATAGAAAATATCAGGATAAGGAAATATTAATAGAAAAGAATATTAATAATTATTGAAATTTCTTTAGTCACTTACTCTAGTCATACAGCTTTCCAATCTACTGTTGTTTAAACGTAGAGCGCGCTAAAAAACCAGTGATTTTTTTAGTATGTCGGTATTTCAGGTCACGGGCTACAAAAGTCCGTAGGATACCTCGTCTGTGGTCTATTCATGTACCTCGTCGGTGATATGAATATAAAATAGTTAGTTCCGCTGTTTCACCACAATGCGACGCTAGTTACCCTGTAAAACAGACAAATTTTCATTTGCGAAAAAAAGTAGTTTAGAGAATTAAATTGCAAACTTTTGTAATTTTATCCTATTAATTGGATCCGCAATTTGCTTTCTATACTCAATTTAAAGCATAAAATTCACAAATAAAAATTTCTAAAAATAGTTAGTACCACATGTATGTATCAACAGATGGCGCCACTATGTCAAAACAGAGAAAATTCCCATTAATTGCAAAAAAATTAACCAAGGGGAATGATTTGTCAACTTTTAAAATTGCATCGTCCGTTTATCCTGTCCTCTTTCATTGTATATTTCATTGTATATTTCATTTACGTTTAAAGTGTATTAATCAAGAATTTCATATTTCGTTATTACTAAATAAATATTATCCAGACATCACAGATGAGTAGACCTAAAGGGATTTTAGAACCCATTTTCGTAATATATATTGCCATACCATGATTTAGGTAAGTTTTGTAAGTATTTGCAGCTATACTAATGAAAATAAAAAAATATGGACAGTATTGCAATTCGTTCTGTTCCAAGAATTATTTATTGAATTGAATATAGTGATACATCATCAATAAATGTAATAATTTGAAACAGTGGTTGATGGAAATTGGAACGAAAAATTTATTATATATTTGATCATTTACATCTGTTTAAAAGTATTAGGTAAAATTGATTGAAACGTATTTTTATTTTATTTTATATATAGGATTGAACGTCTTAAATAAATATTTCTATAAATATTGTTGCTTTTTATCCTGAGATATTATGTGCAAAACGCGCTTGTTGGGGTTAGTTAACGAATACAGCGCCATTATGCGGTCAAATACGTAATACACTTCTTACGATACTTGAACATATCGATATTTTTCACGATCGATTTTAAACCGCGAAGAATGGCGGAAAGAGCACACCTTCGTCTGTAAAGAAGAAAAATCATCAGGAAACAAGTATCATTCAGAAGTTCTCAGCTAAAAATTTAAATCAATACTTGTTAGATCTGTGTTCATGTTGTGAATTTTTGAGATAAAACGTGCATTTTTGGCTTCAACAACTCAAGGTAAGAATTGACTAAACAATTATTACATATAATTCTCAACAATTAAAGAAATTAACGTTTGTTACAGCATCAATTTTTTGCATTTTTTGGGGAGAATCCAAGATGACTTTAAAGCCAAGAATGTGAGAATCATTTATTACTTCTAACTTAAGATTTTATTTTGCTTTTAAATATAAATTCTAATGTTTTGTTACAGATCTTCTATAGTTTCCACTTCCCCTCTTATACTTAGAGAATCTCATGATACTTCAAAAGCTAAAAATGTAAGTATTTTAGCATGTTATAGTAATTTATAATAATTGTTTATAATAATTAAAGTACTTTCAATATAGATGCTTGCAAAAGTAAAACATCCATATAAATATTCATATGAACAGATAAATTATAAATATTTATAAATAATTAAATTATTAAAACGATTTCGTTTGAACATTTCATACTAGAGAAAACGAATATCCTCCGACTTCGTTGCTATGAGAGATGCAGTTACTTATACTGATAATTTATTTTGTTACAATAAATAATTATTTTAAATTTTATTTTCTCTTTTATAATGGTATTAAATGATTTAATTAATTGTTTTATAATTGTGAATTTCAGTAGAATTTGAACTATAATATAATTTTATTTTATTTTATTTTTTTTATCTTTGGAATAAAGTAGAGTTATAAGTGAAGTAAAAAGTGTAATAAATAAGCATAAAGTACAGTAAAGAGTAGAGTAAAAAGTGAAGTAGAGTAAAGTGAAATAAAGTAAAATAAAGTGGAGTGAAGAAAGGAGCAAATAGTTGAGTAAGGTACAGAAAATTGGAGTAACAAAAAATTATCATTTTTTTTAGAACACCATGTATCAGAGATACTATATGGCAGTCACCAAAACCTGATGAAAAAGATCTTCTTTCATTAATTGCACATATGTAATTGATCCAGGTGAATACAAATGGAGGATAGAATCCAATGAAAATTTTGCGCAAGTGAGTACGATTAATTTTGATGAAAATAAATTGCCAATTCAATAATTTTAAACAAAAAGGAATATAGCAAATATATAACATTTTGTCTTTCAATTACGAAGGATATATTTTATATGAATCTGCTGTCAATAAATTTATTTTTAGACACGTGACAAAGAAACATATTTATTATACTCTATATAAGAAAATACCTAGAAGTATTATATATAGAAATATAAAGAATATACAAATTATATA